TTTTTACACAATGGATGTGGAAGGTCTTAACATTTTTATGTGAACTAATAAATGTCATTTTTTTATCTATTATGTTCTGTATGAGTACATTGCCTATATGTTGTATTATAGTTAGTTTGCTAGTTAGGTTGACTGTCACTTGTCTAGTTAGTTTGTTAGTGAGGGTTTCTGTCACTTAATATATGGTTCACTTATATCTGCATGTTTACTGCGTATTCCGCTTGTTGGTGCATGGATGGGTTTTGTTTTGCTTATGATAAATCTTACTTAAACCAAACATAATCTGGATTCAGTTTCATAAGTGCAGAGATCTACATAGATCTACATAGATCTAGTCATACCTGCTGCTGGATGCTTGCATTCAGTATCCCTGACTCGCTTCCTCTGCTGGAAGTCTATTCCAAGCATTAACCACCGTGTCAGTAAAATATTACTTTCTAAGATTCGTTTTGAACTTTCCTCCTGCTAGTTTGAAGTCACATCCCCTTTTTTTTTATATTGATTGTTTTCTGTCCGTGTGTTATAATAATTGCCTATTTGTTGCCAGTATATTGTAACTATTGTTGACTGGCAGGATAGCCAACAATAGCCAGTTGCCTACATATTGTGTAGTTACCGCTGTTTAGAGGATTTATATAACTATAATTTAAAGCATGCCACTATTATCCTTCTTTTTTGCCATGATACACTATCTGTGCCAATATTAAACCCATACATTTTATTTAGTACACTGTTATTATCTCCATGTATCATTGAGACACACTTCGATTTTACTATTTTTTTTTCTATATTTATTTGAAATTCAGCTGGATCAGCAGTGACAAGTCAAATTTTGTTCAGTCTGTCGCTGTCCCCAGTCAGCAGCAGTTGATCATTTGATTGAATTCTGTCGAAGGGATATGCTGAAAATTGTTCTCGATCAGAAGCTTTTGCCTGTCAGCCACTTATCAGTGATTTTGTTTTTTTGTGGATTTAGTGGCTGAATAAAGAACACTAATCCTCGATTCACACTAGTGTGGGTGGAAGCCGTTGCGGGACCTGCACTTCGTCCCACAGCTGCAACCACGTGCGCACAAAATGCTGGGACCTACGGGTGGGTGCCAGTAGACTTAATGGCTCTCCGCTCGCACTGGAAAGCACACCTGCACTGGGATTCACACTGTAGTGCGGTTCCCAGTGCAGGGACCTTTTTCCTGCATTTTGCGAGGCACGGCACAGCCCACAAAACGGACCTAGTGTGAACCGAGGGTAACACTATATGGTCAGCTTATGTTTTTATTTTGAGCTCTAGAGGTTATGAGAAGCCTCTGATGGAACATGGAAGCTAGTTTCAGGGTGATAAAGTTGAATTAATTTAGAAGGTGCCCTAGGGCAAACAAACATTCTTCTACTTCTCTCCTAAACCCCCTTTTACACTATTTGCAAATTGAGGATAAGTTCACCTTTGGGAACACATTACATTTTCCATCCATTTTTAGGATGGAGATCTCCTGCAGGCGCTCTCCGATCCCCCCCTCCCTGTGACACTGGGCAGGGATCTTCTCCCCGCACCCGCTGTCACTATTTGAAAAGAGTATGGCCAGGTGGTGCTCCACCCACATGGCTGCATCATTTATGCACAGATTTCTGTGAATGAATGAACTACAAGTACTGACAGTCTTTGTTGCTGACGGCCTGTAGTTCTCAACGGACTGCAAGGATGTTGTTGAGCACTCTAGTAGTACATTGATTCCTCCTGTCATTGTGTAACTGCCTGCCCGTTTGAGACAGTCTGCAGGAGCCCTGCATTGCACCTGCAATCTGCTGATCGCTGTTGCAATGCTTTAAAGCACCTACAAAAAATGTGCATTTAATATATTTTTTTTAAAAGGTGAACTTATCCTTTAACCTTTTCACTGGATCATTGTACTAGTTATTTTAGTTTGTTGTATAAACATAAAATATAATGTTAAAGTGCTCTAAGCTGAATGCAGATATGGAAAAACGCGCACCTGCACATCACATGCTTTGTAGCGCTCTTCATGAGCCCCAAACCCTAGGGAGCTCTATTATGCAAATACCCAATTGCAAAACTCCAGATGTGGGAGGAGGTGGGGCCAACACAAGCTCAGTAACCAAAGTCCCTATTTGCATAATAATTGTCCACTGGCTTCAGGTCTGTGAATAAACATACAGATACTTGTAGGTGCCTGCTTTACATATTTGCCTGCAGCTTAGAATATTTTTTTTAATATTATCTCATTATCGATTTTTCAAAAGCAATGCGAATAACATATTTAGATGCCTGCTTTACATATTTGCCTGTGGCTCAGAACATTTTTTAATATTATTTTATTATTGATTGCTCAGTAAGAAACCGAATATCAGCTTTAACTGTCTGCCTCACATATATGGATACTTTAACACATTCAACACCTTTAACAAAACCTTAGCGCCTAGACCCAGTTTTGCATCTTTGACATGTGTTAGTAAAAGTGTACATATGATTGCAATTACTTTGTGTATCCAAGTGAATTATACCTTGTTTTTTTTTTTTTTAAAATAGCATTTTTTAACATTTAGCTGTATGTTTCTTGCTATTACTAACCCCTACTGCGAAAAAAAAAACTCTCCTGCTCCTGATCATTGCAGTGATGCCATAAATGTGTATAATATTTGTTGTATGTACTCGTAGTATGGCACAGAAACGATAGAGTGCATTTTTCTTTTTTTATCCTACCGAACAAACATATGGACACTAACTGTGTCTTTTTTTTGTAACTCCTACCTAAAATATACTGACTCTGATCTTTATCTTGACCTTTAACCCTGGCCATGACCTTTGACCCTTACATTGACACTAACCCTGGCAATGACCTTGATCAAACTTTAACCTCCCTGGCAGTATGATTATTTCAGATTTTTGGTGCTGAAAGCAGTACCATTATTTTGCATGGAAATTTGGCGTTTTGTATTGTAGGCCTGTAATTCTTAGGAATAACTCACTGAAATCTGTCCGAACAAGAGTCTAGTAAACATCCCGGGTAGGATAAAACTTGAAACACGAAGTCATAAATTATAATTTAATAAATAATCATAAAAAATAATAATATAATAATAATAAATTTAATTCAATAATATAATCAAACCAAAAACACAGAAATTTGAAATATAGCGCCAAGTTCGCACATCACTGAGCAAAGTTGCAAAATCGTTTTCAGTGTCTGATGACGAATTTCCATACGAATCATTATCACTCAATTCTGCAAGTAGTTCTAATTTACTATCGCTGTTCTCTAGCTGGTCTAAAACCGCTTTTGACCTAAAGGGACGCTTTTTGGACGCCATGGACATTTCTCAGTACTGTATCAAAATGTATGTGAAATGCTTTGATACAGTAATGTTATACTATGTGATTTTAGTGATTTTTGTGAATGTCACTTTTTGTAATTTTCAAATTTCCCGCCGTTCCATTCCCCGTACGTCCCGACGCTCACAGAGGACGGAACCCAGATGACAGATGCCGGTTTACGTTAGATTACATTGTCGGGGACACTGCAGGAGGGACATCGCGGGAGCGCAGGACAAGGTAAGTGATCGAGGGATTGCGGAGCAGTGCCGCATGGTAAGCAAGGTTAAGTGATCGAGGGATTGCTTTAGTGAGGTCAGTGCCGCATGGTAGAGCCCGAGTGTAGCTCGGGGTTACCGCTTGTGGTACTGAAACTTTACCCCGAGCTACACTCGGGAATAACGCCAGGGAGGTTAATCTAGCAAATGTTTTATTTTTTTAATTATAATTAAAGAGAAAAAATTTGCTAGATTAAAGTTTGATCAAGGTCATTATTACTTGTATGTTTACATGTTTCTCCCCTGGCAAGAAGAGAAAGTTGCAATGGGGTAGATTTACTAAAATTGGAGCACTCAGAATCTTGTGCAGCTGAGCATGGTAGCCAAACAGCTACTAATTTCAGCTTGTTCAGTTAAGCTTTGCCAATAAAACCTGGAAGCCGATTAGTTTTTATGCAGAGCTGCCCCAGATTTTGCACCCTCAAGTTGTAGTAAAAAAACCCCAACGTTTCTTTCTCTCCATTCTCTCCATTCAGAGGAAAATAAAACTCAGGGGTGGGCTGCGCAATGACTGATCACTCTGATAGCCAATCAGAGGCTATCACAGTGATCAGCTGATCAGGAATTGAGACTCCCTGTTCTCGATCGTTTAGGAGACACCAGGGCTCTCGGTGAGCTGGGTGCACACGATCGAGCACACTCCCAGTACAAAGACAGGAACACATATATACGGTGCCCGGGTTTAAAGCCCACCTCCTGTGTTACTATGTCGTAGAGGGGTTAATGAACATAAATACTAACATTTCATATTATTTAGCAAATATTACATATGTAATTAATAATATTTACGATGATACTAAAGCTAAAAAAAAAGTTTACCTTAATGCATTCCTTGCATTAAGGTAAAAACATTTTTAATTTCTCTGTCCTCCCCCTCCCCTGTGTAAAGAGAAAGAGAGGGAAGAATAGATCCAGCGCTGTGCACGGCTTCATCTTTTCTCCCCTCTCTTCCTCTTCACACATAGATTCAAATAGCAGTAGGATCTATTGGCTCCTGCTGCTGTCAATCAAATACAGTGAGGAGGGAGTGGGGGCGAGGCTAGGTCCTGCTCTGTGTCTCTATGGAGACTGGCTCCATAGACAGTCAGCTTGGGAGTGAGCAGAAACCATGTGCCCCCATAAAAATGGCTATCGGGGCAGAGGAGGAGCCAAGATCAGTGGTGGAGGATCTGAGAAGAAGAGGCTCAGGGCCGTTTTGTGCTATACCATTGCACAGTACAGGTGAACATAACATGTTTTTATTTTTATTAAAAAAACAAAAAAAAAAACAAATTAGACTTTAACAACACTTAGGAAAATGTGAAAAAGAAGCACTTTGGTAAAGTCTAACTTTTTTTTACTTTTGGATAGAGTGCAGAAGATTTAGAACTCCTACCAGGTTTTTGTCCGTGCCCCATAAGGTAGAATCATTCTCTCTGTTTATCCTGTTTACCCGTATCACTGAGAATGAAAGAGAAAAAAAAAATTCCAAGTTTTGGGTTGTGACCAGTAAGAAAGGGGACATGTTCCAGTGGGAACACTGGTTCTGGTGACAACCAGGTATGTGGTTTGCAATGTGCATTGCAGTAACCCATTATTGCCACTACTGCAATTTGCTCATCTTCATTATTTGATATTCCTATTATAGAAGCTTGGATTGGTAGGTCTGTCTGTGTTCCTTATGAATGGACAACAAATATTTTTTAATAACAAACATTTCTCTACTTACCTGCTCTGTGCAGTGATTTTGCACAGAGCAGCCCTGATCCTCTGCTTTTCGGGTCCAAGCCGGTGCTCCTGGTTCCTCCCCATCAAGCAGTGCCCCCAGGGAAAGCTTGTGTGCTCATCCCTGAGCTGCTGCTCTTTATGTCCGTAGGACACATAGAGCCACGGCTTGCCCCCCTGCAGAGGCTGTTGAGAACATCCCTGGATCGGAGTGGGCTCAGATAAGGATTAAGGGAGATGGGGGGGGGGGGGGGGCGCTGCACACAGAAGGTTTTTTACCTTCATGCATAGAATACACGAAGGTAAAAAAAACCTTGAGCATTTAGAACCACGCTAAAGAGTAAGACATGTTGACCTATTAAGCCCCATTCAGGTGGGGTGGATTCGTCAGTGTGATCCGCCTGCTCAGCGGGGGATCTTTCTCCTGATCCCCGCTGAGTAGGAGGACGACAGGCCTCTGTCCACTCCGCTGCTGCAGAGCTGACACACACTGCCCTCTGATTCAGGGGCGGACTGACAACTCATGGGGCCTTCGGGCAATAGGGGATCATGGGGCCCCCGTGTCCTCGCCCACACTCAAATCACACCCAAAAAAGCCTATGAAAGGTACCAGGGACATCTCATGGGGCCCACTACTGACCCCGGGCCCTCGGGCAGTGCCCGAGTTCCCCAATGGTCAGTCCGCCCCTGCTCTGATTTCAATGGGGCGGTCGGATGGAATTGGATCGCCTGTCCGTTTCCACCCGATTGTCATCCAATCTGATACACTGGATGGATGGGGAACAGATCTCCATCCGTCTGTATTTGGTGTACAGGATCGGATCGGATGCCATCGGGTGTGAGTGGACTGTTGTCCGCTGACACCCGCCAGTCTATAGAAGTCTATGGATGGACTGATCGGGTCCACCTGAAAAACAGACAGGCGGACCCCTTCTGTCCACACGTGTGAAAGGGGCCTTAATGATTCCACCGATTCCAGCCATGAAGCAAAGCGTGTGTACAGTAAGAGGACTTTGAGCCCCCAAAAATGTGAAAGTGGTGTCAGCAGAGGCTCCCGAATGTGAAGGAGAAGCTGAAAAGTGGAGTCTTCAGTCATTTGATATTTATTGCTCACAGAATAGTAAAACAATAGAATAGTGAACAATAAATATCAATTGAATGAAGAATCCACTTCTCAGTTTCTCCTTCACATTCATGTGCCTCTGCTGACACTACTTTACCATTTTTTGGGGCTCAAAGACTTCTGAATTCTGAGAATGCAGAACGTAGGATCGTTTGGATCACCCCTCCGAGCATCAAGTGCAACCTTTCTTCGCTCAGGGACACTCATATTCCCTGCAGGCTTTCACTCCAGGTTTTGTCAATATCACGTAGGGTCAGCAACAAGGTGAGAATAAAACTGTAGAAACTTTATTCTAAATGCAGACTATACAACGTTCCAGGAGATACTAACGCGTTTCAGTCAAACAAGACCTTACTCATACTTAGTGACTTGTAGTGTAGCACACAATTGTGGTCTGTCCCTCCCACCCATCTGTCTCATCTAAAAGGGGAAGATGACCAATAATAGCTGATGCTATACATGATCAGACAGACCTCCATACACAACACAAAAATACATACAGCAAACAATGATAAAAATACACAACCATAAATACAAATATAAGTACAAACCTTAATCAAAACATGTGATAGACACCAGAAAACCATCATTAGGAAAAACGGCAAATAAAAACAGAGAAAAAATGGTAAACAGGACAAACTATTTTATCCCAGGTGCATGTCCAAATCCCATCTAAGATTTAACCCATGGGGCGATCTAGTTTATAACCTGTGTACCCATCGTGCCTCTTTTTGTAATAATATGTGATGCTTATCGCCACCTCGAGGGAGATTCGACACTCTATCAATGCTGCAAAATCTAAAAAAAGTGGTGTCCCCAGCATGAAAATCTCTGAAATGTCTAGATACGCTAGAGATCTGTTCTGCTTTCACCCCAGGTTGTCTGATCCTCCATTAGGGAGCTCAGCAACCTCACAGATGTGAATACACCATTGTATTTTACCTTCTCTTCCCATGTTTCAGTCAGTTGTCTGGTAAACCACTTCACCATAAGGAATTCTAACGTACCCTCTGTCTCTTTTTTTTTATTTTTTTCTCCTTATCTTTGGAGGCACCCCAGTCAAAGCATGTGTACAATCCCCCCTGGCTGCATGTTATGTTTTAGATGGGTGGTCAAACCATGGTTCAACGACCTGTTTTTACAGCCCCCTTGCCAACAGTGTAAACGAGGCCTTAATCAGGAAACTGAGATGAGTTTAGTTAGTGGCTTGGTCAACCAGATGTTTTGCTTGTTTAATGCTATGGACATGCTGTACAAAGCCCTCCTGTCCTGAACCTGTGTTTGTTTGCTGCATTGTTGAAAAAATTGAAAGACAAACTTATTTGAACTGTTCCTGGGTGTCATGAGGTTATGGTGAGGGGTAAGGATCCAACAACCTCCCCCCCCCCCCCCCCCCCACACACACACACACTTAAAACTGTATTAAACCCAAAACCAAAAATGTAATATATTGCAGCTTAGCAACCATTAGATGTGGTGGCTGCATTCGTTTTCTTTTTTAGACTTTTTCCCTTTGTTTTCACCTGGTGATCTGGCCAGTAACAGATCTTCAGTATTAGAGTGCCTCCACTCTGGATGAAGGAGTACAGATGTACCTTTGGACAGCAGCATTGTTAATGTGGAGGGAAGGGAGTGTTAGATGTTCCAGCAGATTTAGATACAATAAAAATTGAAGCCCAAATCCAGCTAACACTTTAGAAGCAGGTACAGCAAACATATATAAAATTATTCCAAAAAGAATCTCCCCCTCTTTAAACAAATACCCAACTGAGATATATAGACAAAACACACCCCTTAAAAGTGATAATTAATAATCAAACCAACAATAATCATAAATGAGTCCAATGTCTTAATAGTTCAAAAAGCACTCAAAACAGAAATACAAGTGGTGAACTTGAAATTTTCCTATAGTGTTGATTGCATCCGGTGACTTTTGTGAAAACCTCAAAAAAAAAAAAAAAAACTCAGTGTATTACCATAACATTATGAAAAAAAAAAAAAATATATATATATATATATGCAAATATACAATACTGTGTGAAACACAAAAATAGTGAAACACTCGTGAAAAAATTGGCAAACAGCACTCGTGCTCAATCCTGAAGTGTTTCACTCAGTGAAAGCCATAACCCACGTGTGGCACTTCTAATAAATAAGGCATATATACCCTTACCAACAGTAAGAAAACAAACGCCTTAAGGTATCAACTGTAGAAATCATCCAACAAATCTTTCTCCTCCTTCACTTGTTTGCAGAGTAACACTGTGCTATCATCCTTCCATGATCAATCATAAGCCTTGATCCCAAATTGCCAGGCTCCAATCATATAATAGGAAATGACCATAGTGTAACTCCATATATTTATGAGATCATACTGTTTTAATATATCTGCTTACATTTAAAAACAATCAGAAATGCATATGGATCAATGCCCCAGTTTTTTGGGGATTACCAGGCAGTTTCCATATGAAGTGTACAGCGATTTCTCACATCAAAGATGGCCGCCGTGGCACTTCCGGTTCCTGCTCCTTGCGTCCGACGTCACTTCCTCTTGACGCATTTTGTCACATCCAGGACTTTGTCATAAGAGATCTCTAATATACTGTTATACAATTATTGGTTTGCACCTATAAAAGCAGGGGTGCCAATATTTTAACTATATATTAGGAGTTTCTCTTTAAATTAGGAGACAAATTAAAATTTACTTGTCATCATTTTCATTGTATATCCAAAAAACAAGGGGTTTATCACTATCTTAAGGACATGCAACAACATGCAGATCATTCTGTTATATTTCATTGGCCATCTGTGCAGTGACATCATTTTATCTAGCAACTGCATACTGAAATATAGTGCATAAATCCAGTTAACTTCTTTGCATACAGCTGTTGCAAGCTTGTTAGACCTTGGCAGTGAAAGGTATGAATGCTGTGGCTTATATAGAGTAGAGCGTGAGAAAAGGAAAGTAACATTGTTTAGAGGCTTTTATCTTTTATATACAGTATATGTGATATATATTTATATTTCTCTATCCCTACAGTCTTCCAGCTCAATTGAACCCAGTCTGCTATCTCATTATCGTGATTCTGGTATGTCATCTAGTAGTTATGAGTTGAGTCAGTACATGCATGATCCGGCAGATGTGATTGACTACTGGAATCCATTACAGGATGGTAAGTAAGTGGTTTTTCTATTAGGATATTAGTCAAGAATTGTAGAATATGGACCACAGCACAGAATAGCCAAAGTATACAAATGGAACTGAAAACCTAACCAAATATATTTATTAATATAGATCCTTATTCTCATAAACCTGAAATAAGAGATGTTATTAAAAAGGTTACTTTAGTCATTTGACAGTAATAATAAAACAGTTAATTGGGCACAAAGGAAGCTGTCACAATTTAAATTTACAATTACAATCACAAAAATTGGCATTTCAGCTTCTGGATGCTGGCTAGTTAGCAATCTAGTTAATTCCTGTACTGTATCTTGCAGGATTTTAGTAGTGATATATCTGTGCTTTAGCTCTCAGACTTGTATACCACCTGTGGCATTTATAAGAAGAATCACAGTCTCCTTGTTGGATCTTTCTTTTTCTAAAATGGGAGCACACAACATACAAAACTCCTAGGTGGGTTGAAGTTGTCAAGAAGATTCCACCACTTGAGTCTTTGAATGATATACTTGTAATGCAGTGTTCGTATACTTTCCATTTTGGCCATTAGATGGTGTCTTCCCTTAGAATATACATATAGTGAGTTACAGGATGGGTGGAGTTCCGTGTGGAGAACTTAGGAGCTCTGCTTCACAGTTGATTCCAATGGGACTTTGTGGGGCGCTTTCTAAAAAGATTCAGTGTATGGTATTCCCTGGCTGGGGAATACCCGATGAGGTTCCTGTACCCTGAGTAGGACTAAAATTGGTGACACTGCTAGAAGCAAATCTGACTAGGACAAGTGCCAACCACAGTCAACCTTTAAGGTGAGAAGTTAAAGACATTTTTCTGAGGTGATATGTATCCTAAATGGTAGATGTATCCTGGAAGTGGATGCCTTGAACTTACAAGTACCAAAACTGTGTGCCTTGTTGTTGCCTACCTTGAGGTTGGAAAGTAAAGTTTTTTCAATGCATTGGACTTGTCTCCATTATTACTTGTGGCCTATCTGGGAAGTGGTTTTCATTTGGGAGTATGGGGGCAGTGTGTGGGGCATGGAAATGGATATGTGCTAAAGAGGTACACATAATTGTTCCCTTCGGGAGTGGGGGGATAAGGCAACAAGGCCAGTTAGTGGTACCCATGGATGGACCATATTGCCCATGTTGGGATGACCCTGCCACATACGTCAGCCATGACTCCATTTGTAACAGAAATATCAAATGTTTAATATAAGCAATAGCATTATCACTGTCAAACCCTCTGTGCTGCTGATTTTTACTCTATTCAAGAGCTGTGGTGCCTGGAGAAACAAGAAAAAGAGAGGAAGGCGCCTCTAAGTGCAGTATTGACAATTTATTTAGTAAACAATGGATAAATTGCACTTACAAGATAAACGGTTAAAAAGACTCATCGTG